AGTCCTTCATTTCAAAAACGAAAGGGAATCCTCAATAGATGCGTCACTTGATATTCTTTTAGGTAGGATTAAAGTAAATTAATTTATGAGACGTTTTTAGCCGCGGCATAGCGGCTCATAGAACAGCTCTGAGTTATTGTTTTTTTTTTTGTTTTGTTTATGAAGTACAAACGTTTAGCTCATAACTCCATTATCTCTTAATTTGAAATATAATTACAATTTTAGACTCGGAAGGTCAAAACCCTTTCGATTGATTATTTGACCGTGTCCAAGGTATCGTAGATCAATTTACTCTAATCTTGCCTAAAAGAATTTCAATTTGAAGGTAGGCTGATAGAAATCCTGATGAGTAATAAAATCGAATCTGGTATACGCGCGCCCCACGCTTGGAATTGCTAGTTCATAAAAATATAGCCAATAAAAAGGAAAAAAAAAGGGTCTTGTAGATAAATTTACTCTAATCCTGCCTAAAAGAATTCCAAATTCCGCAGCTATTGAGGATTCCCTCTTGTTTTCCATTTTATTAGCTATATTTGTGTGTGCCAGCAATACCAAGAGTAGGCCACGCGTATACCCGATTCAGTTTTAATACTCATCAGGATCTCTACCAGCCTACCCTCAAACTGAAATTGTTTTAGGGAAGATTAGAGTAAATTAAGCTATGAGACCTTGGGCGTGGTGAAATACACCAATCGAGAGGGTTTGACCTCCTGAGTCCAAAACTGTGATTATATCTTAAACCAGTCAAGAAATGACGGAGCTATGAGCTAAAAGTGTGTACTTGAAAAACAAACAAAACAAACTTGGAGCCGTTCTATGAGCCATTATGCCCCGGCTAAAAATAAATGAGGCGTTTGGGCTGAAACTATAATTTAGTTTTAAGCCGGATTATGTTTTCCCTGTGCCATACAATTTAACGTAGTTTAATGTATCAGAAGTTCAAGAAGATGTCGGCTAATTTACAACCCCCTAATTAAGGTTATCCAAACAATTATTCTGAGTTGGTTCAGATTTTCCCACATACTCGGACTTTTCTACTTTTTGACATAAAAGGTGTGTGTGTGTGTGTGTGTGTGTGTGTGTGAAGACATTTAACTTTCCTTCCAGGTTTAGTACCTTAGTATTTTTCATCTAGCATTTATGTTCCCCGGTTACACAGCGGCATGTTTACGGACTTACAACGCTGAAATCCGGGGTTCGAGTCCCCGTGATGGACACAGCAGATAGCCTAAGGTGACTTTGCTCTACAACAAACAAACCTAGCGTTAGCATATTCTTTATAGGTGCTTGAAATATTAGACGACTAAAAAGTAAGCGACTAAATAGTTTATTCATAGGACAATAATCCTTCAGTAATGTCCTGGAAGTTCTTACGGAACAATTTCTTAACAGTCATTGGAGTTTAAAAGCATAATTATGTTTCTGAACAATATATGTTAATTTCGAGCTCAACTATATTAAAGTCAGAATGTGTTTTATTTCAAACATTTATCGTACACACATAAAGCGCCGTATGACGATACGATATCAAACCTCACGAATAAATCAAAAATAGGTATCTGTCTCTGCACATATACTCTTGAATTCTTTTCGTACTGTCAAATGTTTTGTCAGGTGAAAGATTTGGTAATGAAGTCTCTTCTTTACAAACATATATGATTCGGTATAATGTATTTTGTTCTGAATTAGAACCACCGAAAAGAGTATCTACAAAATACAAATTTTATTCATCAAAACTCCAGGGTGTGGCACAAGCATTGTGGACCTCAGTTAAGTAGTTATGCATATTTATCAATGATTTGATGCAAAGAATATGAGCAACACATCAAACAGGTTTCAATATATATGCAAATATAAAGTATCCAGAATCTTACTACTTATTAGAAATTTTGATGAAATAGGCAAACCCGAAAAATTCATAAAAATTGTCCTGTAGCCTAAACTGAACTGAGTACGAGCATGAGATACCTGTAAACATACAAATACAAAAAAACAAAAAAACTACAACAACAGAACTGGACATATATCACATATATATTAATATATATGGGCATATATATTAATTTAATACACTTTGTAGTGGTTGGAGACGAATTGTTTCATGGAGGAAATGTATTAAACACATCTTATCCAATATTGTCAAATGTAAACGATGATACTTGGCATTGTGAAGAAGAAGAACCGAATAAATATGTATCTCGATATCTAAGAAATATCCTAACTAAAAAAGAAATACTTGGAATGACTGTTGTACTTTTAATTAAAAAAATACAGCACGGAAAATAATTATGGACGCGCACAGATAATACGTATATAGGAGTCATAAACAACGAGTACTTGCAACTAAATCGTCTATTTTTATCATTAGTACCATACATTATTACAGAAAATACAATAGAAAGGATAAACAAACAAGTAGTATAATGCACTGGTGTTATGTATTTGCTTTAAACAGACTAGTGCACCTTATTTTTATGCTGCCATAAGTTTACCAGTGTATGGTTGTGAAAAATTGTTCCAAATGTCCTATATTACTTGTCATAATTGTTTCGTTGTCGTTTAACCATCAATCTTAGTTTCCGTATAAGCTCATACAGTCTTAATAACATTCATTTTGGGACCTTATACAGGCCAATAATGGTTGCAAAAGTTCTATCAGCCTTATATCCCATCAGATATCTTTTCATCACATTGACTGAGTGCTTGAAGATGAATCCCTACTCAAAAGGTCTTTTTTTTTCCTAAGGAAATGACCGGCCGAATAAGAATCTGCTTGTATTTGTAAACA